CCTGTGTATATTTCTGTTTGGATTTCAAGGCATTAAATACAGTCGATATAAATTCAGACAGGCATTTCAATTCTTTTAACTTAGTAGTTGTAATCAGACATTTAAATGAGAGTTGTTAAATGTAGGGACCATACAAGGCATTTCTCAGGTATAAGTGACACTCTTTTATCAACAAATGCTTCACAACGGGCTATATACTCGTAATGGAACTCGCCAGCAACTGTTGGAGAATTACAAAGTGTACATAAACGTTATCTTTAAGGAGATTATTCCATCGGATATTTTCACTCTCAACGGGTAGGTTGTGATTTGTTGTTCGAAATTTTAAGAGCGGATATGCCATAGATTTAAGTAATAGAAGATGGTTTTTCTTTGAGATATTTATAGTAGAATTCTTTCGAACTTGTAGTTATAGATCCTCTCCATGTCTGGAAGAATTGATCTGTCTATTCAATCTACTGTTGAGACAAGACACTTTGTATTGAAGTCACCGGGTATGCTAAATACTTCGCCGAGTTTGCATGAGTTAAGTAAACTTTCTACAGAGTTAAACCAGTTACACTGATACGTGCTAACATTGTTGTCCATGTTAATGAAATCACTAACTAGTTTTGTTGATTTAACCTGGTCAGTGTTCGTTACAGTTTAACTCTCTTGGCTATATGTATATTAAGGTGTGATCTTCCTAGTTCACCGTATACCATGTAAGTAGGTGTTGAAATGTTCCAACCGGCAGCTGTTTTAAAAACATTTAGGTGTACCTTTTCGATCAGATTTATGTTTTCAGTTCCCCATCCTTCGGAGCCATTCAACAAAATAGGTAAATTATAACATCAAATGATTTAAATGTAGTTATATATATAAGTGGAAGGTTAATATCTGGTGTTTTTCTCAGAAGATGATCCATGCCCTTTGTGGCATTCTTTATGAAAGACAAAGTAAATACATATTTTCTATTTCTATGGAATTTTATGCCTAAATAATTATATTATCAACAATTTCCAGCTGACGATTACCGAGGTAAAATTGTATATTGTTCGTTTTCGGCTTTCCGCTGCCAAGGATAATAATTTTAGTTTCAGAAATGTGAACATTAAGCTTCCGCTTTTCGCAGTAACTATACAGCGAGTTTAAAGACTTTTGTAGGGACCTTGAGCTCTTGCTGAGTATAACAATATCGTCCGCGTATAAGTAACACAAATTGTATACATGATGTGAATGTTCATCGGAATGAACCATGGTTCTTTAGCCAGGGTTCGAAATCGTTAAGAAAAAGAGAAAATAAGAGGGGAGATACATTTTCGCCTTGTCGGACACCTGAATGGGTTGGAAAGAAGCTGGAGATGGAGTTACCTATTTGAATACAAAATGTAATATAGTGAGTGAGTGAGTGAGTGAGTAGGGTGTAACGCCGCTTTTAACATTATTCCAGTTATATCACGGCGTGTCAGCTTAATGTGGGAGGAAAGCCGGGAGTGATGCAGGTCTCAGACGTTTACCACTTCGGTGAAACCCACGAGCACGGGTATGGTGCTGACAAACCTAGAAACATAATCGGGGTGAACCGGGATTCGAACTCACAATCATAGGTTTCTGGCGTGTCCAGGGGACGCAACTCTGCACAGCTAATCGCGGCGCCTTAGACGACTGGGCCACCCGTGCCCCCAAATGTAATACAGATATTTTGTACCAGCGTGTGAACCCCCCTAGTGATTCCATACTTCTGTAATCTGGAACATAGCCCAACCCTCCAGGCACTATCAAACGTCTTGTAAAAAAATAATGAAAACTCAGTATAACTTCTGTTAATTATATTTTTAGATATTCATAACCATTTTTATTACAAAAAATTATCGGTTGTTGAAAATCCTTTACGGAAACCGGCTTTGGCAAAGGATAGTATATGATTAATATCGAAGCAGCTGGTTAATCGTAAGTTTAGCATACCAGTAAAGAACATACCAAGGCGACTCAGTATTGTCAGAGGACGGTAATTGTTTGGATCAGATGGGTCTCCTTTTTGCAATTATATTGCCTAAATTATACCAGTGAGCCATGCGCTAGGAGTAATACCTGCGGTAAATACAAGATGCAATAGTTTTGTGCGGAGTGGCCCCAATGTGTCAAAAGGATCAAAAAGGTAACTATTAAATATGAACTATTGTTTCTAGAATGTAATCTCCTCTCGGATTTCATCCAACGAAAAATCTCCAATCAAAATAGTGGTAACATAAGGTGTCGTTTCAATTGAGTCTGTCAGATATGTTTATCTGAGTTTATATATGTAAAGAAGTTACAAAAGCTATCAATATTCGGCATTGTCCCTGCGTCAGTTTTAGTACTCTTCGAACTTAAAGGTTTCCCAAAATTCTTTTGGGGAGGATTTTCTATTCTCCGTAGCCACATGCTACTCCGTAGCCAGTCTTTTTTTGTGCTTATTAGTATGCTCATTTCTTATAATCCTTTGTAGTCTATTGGTGTCTGTTTTAAATTTTCTGAGCTGTTTTCCAGCTTTAGTATAGTGTTTATGTAGGAGTTTGAACTCCCTACCAAACCAAGGCTTGTTTGCTTTCTCATTCCTATCATGTTGCTTTGGGACCATGTCCCAGCACAAGCCATAGTTTCCCGAGCCGCGTTCACAAGCACGTGCGCGGCCCGCCGGCTGACCTATTTATTACCGGAGAGGGTGATCATGACCGGTAAATGCTGACTCAGTTAATGTGGTCATGGCTTTAGTTTGATCTGAATCAATATTTTTACAAAATCAAGACGCTCTGTCTAAGTCATTATACACCGGCCTGTTTCCTAATTGTGCATTACTAAAATTTGCCGATATGTTACTGTGTTTGTTCTGTTCAACACGTACAGTTGTCAAATAGAGAAGAGAACATGTGTACATGAGTTATAAGAGGTGAAAATTCACAAACCTTGAAACTATCAAACATTGATAAACATGATGGACAAGCTTAAACATGGTCAATAACACTTTTGTCTTTACATATTACAGCTCCTGAAAATCTGTCATTGCCTAGTCGGCCATTACATATAAATAAATTAAAATGTTTACATATGTCAAGTCATTTATTTCCATGATTATGACTCTACCTTTATCAAGTGTATGTATGTATGTATGTATGTATGTATGTATGTATGTATGTATGTATGTATGTATGTATGTATGTATGTATGTATATTCAGATCATCTAAGACGGATTCGGGTTTGTAAACCTACATTCTAACTCATCTATCATCTGTTTATCAAAGACAGTGTAGTCACACTTTTTGCTGGTCCTGGCATTAAAGTCTTTCAATAACAAAACATGTAGAATCTATTGACTGTTCCAGTGTGTAAAAGAAAGATATAATCATTACAACATGTAGATCCTTCTGAGGGTAAAAGAACCACACCAGTGAAGACATTGTTGTCACAATAAAATGGAGTGGCGCCTTAGACTACTGGCATCAATCATGCATTTACTGATCCCTGTATTAAATTGTTCACTATCATCATGTGTATCTGTCGATAAACAAGTCTCTGCATATTTAGCAGCTGTGTATCAAGACAGACCTTGTACGAAGATATCTCAATATTGGAAGCTTTGTCTCATTTAACAAAATATGCTTCTTTAACCTTTGCTTTGCATAATCACTAACTTGTATGCTACACATGGAAAGTGATTGGATATGACATAACCAGTGAATAGCACTTCACTTGAACTGGTGTTACACTGCAAATGGGGAGGAATCAGAAAAAATCAATCAGAGACTTCTTTATATTATCTTGCCCATGAAAGTATATGCGCTTATGTATTGGATAGTATTCACGAAATAACAAGTACAAACAAAGTGAGACAGATGTTTGTCACGTGGTTACATTAGACGCTTACATATATCCGAGGTGAGATCACCTAGAATAATTGTATCACCCTGAACACACAACTCATTATGGAAGCCAGAAGGTACGTCAAGAGCCATGCTATATGTACCGTTAAGGGCATTGTAGGACGGAAGGCGACTTGAAATCTTGATGCCTTACAAAAATGTGTCTTTGAGGGAAAATTTGACTGACCAGAGAGTCAGGTCAATGAGAGACAGTCTAATCTTTTCTAATGTCCCTGATCAAGTGAAGACTGATGGTATAAGCACTGATCGTGTTGAAGCATGGAAACAGACGGAAGGCATACTCAGAGATTTTATAAAAACTGAACTAAACTTGACCTCAGTGGGACAGTAATCTTTAAAAGAGTCCACATACTAGGTGCTCGACGATTTACAGGACAAAAGGAAATAGGAAACCTGGATGAATGATTGCCAAATCTATTTACACTGGAAGACACCCGATCGAGGCCTCAACGGGATAATGCTGGTAGTCAGACGCAGTCACGCGACACACTGAACAATAACCCAGCATTTCTGATATTCTGTACACCAATGAAGTAGCTATTTCAAACATCTCGTGACAAGAATTATATAGAGGCTCTGGAGACTTGAGTAAAGTCCCATACTTGAGATATAATGATTTTCCTGTCAATGAGTTCACTTGAACCCATGCTGAGAGTGTCCCCCACACCCGACATGACCTTCATATATCGTCAAGTCACACAAGTTCGATCGACATGTAACTTCGATCGGCCATTTTGAATGATATTTCTCGCGAAATGTAACGAGAAATTACGGTACCTGCAGCTTTGATCTTCTGACAACACCGCTTTCGTTCGCTTGGACCGGAAAATGCTTCGTGTCAAGTTACAAAACTTAAGTAATAGCTCATATACAGCAAACAACTACTTTTTAACCCGAGATCACTAATGTAACTTGATTAGCTCAAATAAAATGTCAATTGTAATAAATGCACACGTTGTAAATCGACGGTACACCTGTCGCCTGCTTGTTTACGTTCATGGTGTAAATGTCACGTGATGAGACAAGTGATGTGCTCGCCAAAATTTAAAACTATGGAAACAAATTAGGGTCATTTCTTATTGAAAATGTTATGCTTTTTGAGAACTTCTGTCTCTGGAGTTTTGGTGATATATAAAATAAACCTTTATTTTTACAGGTTTTGACCAATGGTGAACCAACCAGAAGAGGTCAATATAGGCAATATTTGTCTGCAGCCCTAGACAAGGCATATAATGCTGTTTTAGATGGAATGGCAATTAGGAAAGCTGCCACTACCTTTGCTGTTCCATTTGCTACACTGCATGACAGGATGAGTGGGAAGGTTTCTATTGAATGTAGTACCACTGGTAGAGAACCACTATTGTCCATGGAAGAAGAACAGGGACTTGTTTCACATATTGAAGCCATGGCAAATTTTGGGTATGGCTATACAAGGGCTGAAGTTACTACTATTGCCACAGACCTAGCAATATATGTTGGAAAGAAGTCAAAGGATGAACAACCCCTATCACTTCAGTGGTTCTATGGGTTTATGAAGCGATGGCCTGATCTGTCAGTGAAGAAGCCACGATCCCTTGAGATACAGAGAGCAAAAGCTACCTCAGAGGAGACGATCACTCATTATTTTAATGAGCTTGGGCACATCATGGATAAGTACAACCTGAAGACATGCCCTCATCGCATTTATAATGTTGAAGAAAAGGGACTTATGGAGCCTCATACCCCACCATCAGTTGTTACATCGAGTCAGAGTACTCCAGCTGCAGTCACAACATCAAGATCAAGTACTACAACGGTTATAGGTTGCGGCAATGCGTCTGGTAGTTCTATACCACCGTATTTTGTATTCAAGGGCAAGAGGATGCGGGAAGAACTCCTTTCAGGAAGTACCCCTGGAGCAGCAGGCACTGTAAGCGACTCTGGCTGGTCAAACACGGAGATTTTTCAGCACTATCTGACAGAGCATTTCCTGAAGCATGCTGTCGCCGCGTCTGCAGATAGTCCACTTCTTATTGTGTATGATGGTCATAGATCCCACGTATCTATTCCACTCATCGAATGGGCACGTCAACATCACATTATTTTGCTTGTACTGCCTGCACACACGTCCCATGTTTTACAGCCAATGGATGTTGGTTGCTTTGGACCTTTTGCTAAAATTTACAACAACCTCCGTCATACGTATATGCGGGAAAATGCCACAAGTTCAGTTGATAAACATTCTGTTTGTGAACTTGGCTGTAGAGCTTATAACCTGTCGCTGACACCAACAAATCTGCAATCCTCTTTCAGGAAATGTGGAGTCTATCCATTTGACAAGTCTTCCACCGCCAATATCAACTTTGCGCCATCAACAGTTTTTAAGTCGACTGAACCTTTGCTGCATCCTGATACTGGTGTTATTGATTCATGTGTGCCAGTTGGAGACAAGGTTGTCACTTCACCTACTGAGGGCAATGATGTAGCAGGATTCTTTAAAGACAAGACGACTGTACTTTTCAAGAAAGCTGTGCCTACTAAAAAGAGAAACGTTCTGAGCGCTGTTGTCGGGGGCAAGGCCATCACCGAAGACGTCATTCTGAATAAAATTATTTCTCACCAGACTGTGAAATCGGCACCCAAAAAAAGAAAGCAAGCACCTAAACCAAGTAAATCTTTAAAAAAAAAAAATACTGTCACATACAGTTACATCTGTGTGTTTAAAGTTGATTTTGACCGCCCGGGCCAAGTCGGACCCAACACAAGCCAAACACTTCTGATAGAGACTATGTTGAGAATGTAGAGGGAAAAGGGCTTCACTTTCGAGCCCCTTGTTGTCTATAAATACTGCAATCTGTGACATTATAAAGTGGTGTATAGGTAGATATAATACTAATCTATAGATGTGAATCCATTTGATGATACATCTGTGAGGTTTAAGTTGATTTTAACAGCCCGGACCAGATCAGACCGAACATTTCTGACTTGGATTTTTTAAATAAAATACAGTAAAAATGCTTCACTTGAACGGCGCAGATTTCTTTAAATGCGATACACCTGGACATTATAAATTGGTGTATAGGTAGATATAACACTAATCTATAGATTTAATCACATTTGAAGTTACATCTGTGTGTTTCAAGTTGATTTTGACCGCCCGGGCCAAGTCGGACCCAACACAAGCCAAACACTTCTGATAGAGACTATGTTGAGAATGTAGAGGGAAAAGGGCTTCACTTTCGAGCCCCTTGTTGTCTATAAATACTGCAATCTGTGACATTATAAAGTGGTGTATAGGTAGATTTAATAGAAATCTATAGATGTGAATCCATTTGATGATACATCTGTGAGGTTTAAGTTGATTTTAACAGCCCGGGCCAGGTCGGACCGAACATTTCTGACTTGGATTTTTTAAAGAAAATACAGTAAAAATGCTTCACTTTAAGGGCGCAGATTTCTTTAAATGCGATACACCTGGACATTATAAATTGGTGTATAGGTAGATATAACACTAATCTATAGATTTAATCACATTTGAAGTAACATCTGTGTGTTTCAAGTTGATTTTGACCGCCCGGGCCAAGTCGGACCCAACACAAGCCAAACACTTCTGATAGAGACTATGTTGAGAATGTAGAGGGAAAAGGGCTTCACTTTAAGCCCCATGTTTTCTATAAATACTGCGATCTGTGACATTATAAATTGGTGTATAGGTAGATATAACACTAATCTATAGATTTAATCACATTTGAAGATACATCTGTGTGTTTAAAGTTGATTTTGACCGCCCGGGCCAAGTCGGACCCAACACAAGCCAAACACTTCTGATAGAGACTATGTTGAGAATGTAGAGGGAAAAGGGCTTCACTTTCGAGCCCCTTGTTGTCTATAAATACTGCAATCTGTGACATTATAAAGTGGTGTATAGGTAGATATAATACTAATCTATAGATGTGAATCCATTTGATGATACATCTGTGAGGTTTAAGTTGATTTTAACAGCCCGGGCCAGGTCGGACCGAACATTTCTGACTTGGATTTTTTAAAGAAAATACAGTAAAAATGCTTCACTTTAAGGGCGCAGATTTCTTTAAATGCGATACACCTGGACATTATAAATTGGTGTATAGGTAGATATAACACTAATCTATAGATTTAATCACATTTGAAGTTACATCTGTGTGTTTCAAGTTGATTTTGACCGCCCGGGCCAAGTCGGACCCAACACAAGCCAAACACTTCTGATAGAGACTATGTTGAGAATGTAGAGGGAAAAGGGCTTCACTTTAAGCCCCATGTTTTCTATAAATACTGCGATCTGTGACATTATAAATTGGTGTATAGGTAGATATAACACTAATCTATAGATTTAATCACATTTGAAGATACATCTGTGTGTTTAAAGTTGATTTTGACCGCCCGGGCCAAGTCGGACCCAACACAAGCCAAACACTTCTGATAGAGACTATGTTGAGAATGTAGAGGGAAAAGGGCTTCACTTTCGAGCCCCTTGTTGTCTATAAATACTGCAATCTGTGACATTATAAAGTGGTGTATAGGTAGATTTAATAGAAATCTATAGATGTGAATCCATTTGATGATACATCTGTGAGGTTTAAGTTGATTTTAACAGCCCGGGCCAGGTCGGACCGAACATTTCTGACTTGGATTTTTTAAAGAAAATACAGTAAAAATGCTTCACTTTAAGGGCGCAGATTTCTTTAAATGCGATACACCTGGACATTATAAATTGGTGTATAGGTAGATATAACACTAATCTATAGATTTAATCACATTTGAAGTTACATCTGTGTGTTTCAAGTTGATTTTGACCGCCCGGGCCAAGTCGGACCCAACACAAGCCAAACACTTCTGATAGAGACTATGTTGAGAATGTAGAGGGAAAAGGGCTTCACTTTAAGCCCCATGTTTTCTATAAATACTGCGATCTGTGACATTATAAATTGGTGTATAGGTAGATATAACACTAATCTATAGATTTAATCACATTTGAAGATACATCTGTGTGTTTAAAGTTGATTTTGACCGCCCGGGCCAAGTCGGACCCAACACAAGCCAAACACTTCTGATAGAGACTATGTTGAGAATGTAGAGGGAAAAGGGCTTCACTTTCGAGCCCCTTGTTGTTTATAAATACTCCAATCTGTGACATTATAAAGTGGTGTATAGGTAGATTTAATAGAAATCTATAGATGTGAATCCATTTGATGATACATCTGTGAGGTTTAAGTTGATTTTAACAGCCCGGGCCAGGTCGGACCGAACATTTCTGACTTGGATTTTTTAAAGAAAATACAGTAAAAATGCTTCACTTTAAGGGCGCAGATTTCTTTAAATGCGATACACCTGGACATTATAAATTGGTGTATAGGTAGATATAACACTAATCTATAGATTTAATCACATTTGAAGTTACATCTGTGTGTTTAAAGTTGATTTTGACCGCCCGGGCCAAGTCGGACCCAACACAAGCCAAACACTTCTGATAGAGACTATGTTGAGAATGTAGAGGGAAAAGGGCTTCACTTTAAGCCCCATGTTTTCTATAAATACTGCGATCTGTGACATTATAAATTGGTGTATAGGTAGATATAACACTAATCTATAGATTTAATCACATTTGAAGATACATCTGTGTGTTTAAAGTTGATTTTGACCGCCCGGGCCAAGTCGGACCCAACACAAGCCAAACACTTCTGATAGAGACTATGTTGAGAATGTAGAGGGAAAAGGGCTTCACTTTCGAGCCCCTTGTTGTCTATAAATACTGCAATCTGTGACATTATAAAGTGGTGTATAGGTAGATTTAATAGAAATCTATAGATGTGAATCCATTTGATGATACATCTGTGAGGTTTAAGTTGATTTTAACAGCCCGGGCCAGGTCGGACCGAACATTTCTGACTTGGATTTTTTAAAGAAAATACAGTAAAAATGCTTCACTTTAAGGGCGCAGATTTCTTTAAATGCGATACACCTGGACATTATAAATTGGTGTATAGGTAGATATAACACTAATCTATAGATTTAATCACATTTGAAGTTACATCTGTGTGTTTCAAGTTGATTTTGACCGCCCGGGCCAAGTCGGACCCAACACAAGCCAAACACTTCTGATAGAGACTATGTTGAGAATGTAGAGGGAAAAGGGCTTCACTTTAAGCCCCATGTTTTCTATAAATACTGCGATCTGTGACATTATAAATTGGTGTATAGGTAGATATAACACTAATCTATAGATTTAATCACATTTGAAGATACATCTGTGTGTTTAAAGTTGATTTTGACCGCCCGGGCCAAGTCGGACCCAACACAAGCCAAACACTTCTGATAGAGACTATGTTGAGAATGTAGAGGGAAAAGGGCTTCACTTTCGAGCCCCTTGTTGTTTATAAATACTCCAATCTGTGACATTATAAAGTGGTGTATAGGTAGATTTAATAGAAATCTATAGATGTGAATCCATTTGATGATACATCTGTGAGGTTTAAGTTGATTTTAACAGCCCGGGCCAGGTCGGACCGAACATTTCTGACTTGGATTTTTTAAAGAAAATACAGTAAAAATGCTTCACTTTAAGGGCGCAGATTTCTTTAAATGCGATACACCTGGACATTATAAATTGGTGTATAGGTAGATATAACACTAATCTATAGATTTAATCACATTTGAAGATACATCTGTGTGTTTAAATGTGATTTTGACCGCCCGGGCCAAGTCGGACCCAACACAAGCCAAACACTTCTGATAGAGACTATGTTGAGAATGTAGAGGGAAAAGGGCTTCACTTTAAGCCCCATGTTTTCTATAAATACTGCGATCTGTGACATTATAAATTGGTGTATAGGTAGATATAACACTAATCTATAGATTTAATCACATTTGAAGATACATCTGTGTGTTTAAAGTTGATTTTGACCGCCCGGGCCAAGTCGGACCCAACACAAGCCAAACACTTCTGATAGAGACTATGTTGAGAATGTAGAGGGAAAAGGGCTTCACTTTCGAGCCCCTTGTTGTCTATAAATACTGCAATCTGTGACATTATAAAGTGGTGTATAGGTAGATATAATACTAATCTATATATGTGAATCCCTTTGATGATACATCTGTGAGGTTTAAGTTGATTTTAACAGCCCGGGCCAGGTCGGACCGAACATTTCTGACTTGGATTTTTTAAAGAAAATACAGTAAAAATGCTTCACTTTAAGGGCGCAGATTTCTTTAAATGCGATACACCTGGACATTATAAATTGGTGTATAGGTAGATATATCACTAATCTATAGATTTAATCACATTTGAAGTTACATCTGTGTGTTTCAAGTTGATTTTGACCGCCCGGGCCAAGTCGGACCCAACACAAGCCAAACACTTCTGATAGAGACTATGTTGAGAATGTAGAGGGAAAAGGGCTTCACTTTCGAGCCCCTTGTTGTCTATAAATACTGCGATCTGTGACATTATAAAGTGGTGTATAGGTAGATTTAATAGAAATCTATAGATGTGAATCCATTTGATGATACATCTGTGAGGTTTAAGTTGATTTTAACAGCCCGGGCCAGGTCGGACCGAACATTTCTGACTTGGATTTTTTAAAGAAAATACAGTAAAAATGCTTCACTTTAAGGGCGCAGATTTCTTTAAATGCGATACACCTGGACATTATAAATTGGTGTATAGGTAGATATAACACTAATCTATAGATTTAATCACAT